TGGAATTGGATTATCGAAAATGAGGAGAAGGACACTATGGATGTTGATTCCCCAGACTGTGTAACCCAATATCTTGATTTAAAAGAAGAAACACTGGAAAGGTTCTGCAAAGATGCAGCACGAGCCTTCTTTAGTGAGTTTGGCTTGATAAATCATCAGATTAACTCCTTCAATCAATTCATAACAAGTGGGCTCCAGGAGATTTTTGATTCTTTGGGTGAAGTAGTCGTGGAACCAGGCTATGATCCATCCAAGGGTGGAGGAGGAGATTGGCAGCATGCCACTATCACTTATGGAAAGGTCAGGCTCGGAAAGCCAACTTTTTGGACCGAAAGAAGTGGTCAGGAGACAGAAGAATTAAAATTGTTGCCTAAGCATGCCCGGCTGCAAAATATGACCTACTCGTCGAAATTAAAAGTGGAAGTAAGGGTTCAGGTATGTAGATTGCATTCACATGCTATAAGAACTATACATTATTTGTCATTCTTATATTCAGATAAACCTTTTCTTCTTTCAGTTCTGTAATGATATTTCATGTTTATCAAGAATCAATGTTACTCCATGAATTCAAAGCAGCACATATACATGAATACACATAAAATGGACAAGATTGTTTATAGCAGATACTACTATATGTATCTGCTAGGGTCCTAAGGAACTAAAAACATTCTATTAGTGAGCAGTTTGCTGCACATAGAAAAATATGTAAGCGGGTGATTCAATAGAAAAACACACATATGGTGTGGCATGATGCCAGCTAATACTAAAACAATATTAGACATATTATTGAACCTAGTCTAGTCCTTGATGTTACTTTGATGCGACAGTTTTCCTTTGAGCCAGAGATTGTATATTGAAGAATTTAATTATGATAGATACTAACATCTATATTCAAGGGATTACAACATACAACCTGCTTTAATTCTTCATAGTATGTACTGGCTCTATGGTTTTCATCATCTTATTGGAAGCTTTGCATCTTTTTTCTTCAGGTCTACATACTAGAGAAGAGTGACAAGGCTAAAACTGGAAAAGATTCACACATCTGTAAAAGGGTATTGAGCGATGACAAGAAGGAGATTACCATAGGAAGCATGCCAGTGATGGTGAAATCAAAATTGTGCTGGCTTGATACACTGGATAAAAGTGATTGTTTATATGATTCTGGGGGTTACTTTATAGTTAAAGGAGCAGAAAAGGTAATTTTGCCCCTTCCATATTCATCAACAACATTCAGTGCTTGTACTTAATCATACATATGATGACTCACGGGTTACTAGTCACTTGTATTTTCCTTAGGATTCCACCAATCTGCTTAACTTAAATATGTATGAGAGCCTTGTCCTTGTTTCTACTTATTCATATCACGTTTAGCTCTATTCATAATGTTTTCATCAATGCATGTATGCTCACGTGTCTTCAATACTTTTTTTTTGTTCTTTCATTTCCTTCTCTTTCTTTTTGCTGTTTCTTAGTGAGGGATCAACAATGGCTGGCAGGGGCAGCTTAGTCCAGCTTTTCATTACTATAATCGATTGAGATGTGAATTATTAAAATATCTCCATAGTTGTTACTGTCTTACAGATTATTTTCATTTCAAACTGCGTGCTTATCAAAATATATGTTACCGATGCTGAAGGGTTTTAGGCTCAGAATTCTTCTTACACGTCTGGGAAAAGAGAGTGATTAGCTTAGTTTCTATATTAGCTCGTCTCTTCGTATCTGAATATGTTTTTGGCAATTTGAATATGTTTCTTTACAGAAGTTATCCTTCGTCTCCTTGTATCCTTAAATTCCAAGGTGAGTGTTGGGGTGTGTGTGTGGATGTTAAGTGTTAAGATTGCTTGATAATTATTATAGAACAGCAACCCATCACCTTACCCTAAGCTTTGGGTGTCAGATTTGAATTATTGAAATATTGATGTTAGATGTTTAAAATTAATGCATATATTTCCTGTTCAAGTGGTCTCATTGGTTCCACAGTAATTAAATCTTATGCTCACCTTTCGATGACACGTGAAAGGTGCTGGAATCTCTCACATACAATGTTGAATTAAATCAGCTTCTCTCTCGTTAAATCTGAAACCTGGATCATAAGTTTGCGTCTTCGAGGTGTAAATTCTTTGAATATATTATGACATTATGTTATTGTTTACATAATAGTATGAATTATCTTGTTTAACTGCTTGTCATTGATTATTTAGGCTCGCAGTCTTTTGTACCTACACAATGTTATTCACATACATAACTTGTTGTACTTTTCCCACCTGTCTGATAAAGCAAAGCAAGCAGGTTACGTAGCTTAGGTATCTTGGCGCAGTGAGTATCCATCAAAGAATAGTTATTTAGTTAATAATGTTACAAATGATCTGTTCATTTCAGCTTACAGTTCTCTGAATGTTGCGGATATCCTGGGATTTACTTTACAATAACACTCAACTCTTATATTGTGTAATTCTGATTCAAAGTGACCAATGTCTTTATGTTGTTGAATCGAACTCAGAGTTACCGAAGTTCTTCATTACCCTGAATCATGGTTTGTTGGATTCAAATTTGGGTTTTGTATTCGGTTGCATTGCATATAACATCTGACATAATACAACTATTCCTAGCATCCAACTTATGCATTCAAGCATAATACCATTTTGCATGAGCGTCTGTTTACGCTAGGGGTGAGCACGGTTCGGTTCGGGTCGGTTTTTACCAAAATTTGAACAACCGAACCGAACCATCTACAATTCAAAACCGAACCGAATCATTACAAATCGGTTCGGTGCGGTTCGGTTCGGTTTGTTCGGTTCTAACTTTATCAAGTATAACTTCACTTCAATTTATCTTTTATATATTCTTATTACCCTATGCCAGCATGTATTTATTTTTTAACTTCACTTCAATTTATTATTCTTGCTCATGTATGTATACTGTTTTTAAGTGAAGTAACTTGTCCTTTTGGATTAAATACTAGACTCTGACGTTGTAATTTTTTAGTAACGGACTTGCTTTGTCTTTGTGTAGCAAGCTTTGACTTTGGTCTTTGTGGAGACAAAAAAAGGAGCTGACTCATTAGAACATTGGTTATGTATGAATTAATTCCCTACAACTGCTATTCATGGTGATCGAACACAGTAATAAACTCACAAATCAAAGGCACAAATATATTCGGTTGGTTCGGTTCGGGTCGGTTTAAAAAATTGTCAACCCGACCCGAACCGCCTTACTCATAAAACCGCTTTTTTCGGGTCGGTTCGGGTCGGTTCGGTCGGTTTTTTCGGTTTGAACCGAACCGTGCTCACCCCTAGTTTACGCTCAGTGACTTCTCCCAGATGCATGTATGTCGCACCTGCAGCCGTTTCGCTAATGTGATCCAGCGAGTTGTCAGCAACGGGAAGATACGGGGGCCTTATTGTGGTTTCTTCAAATCGGGGGAGAACGTCGTGAGGATTAACGTACCGTATGGTGCGAAACTGCTGTTTCAGGAGTTGTTTAGTATGGGTATCTGCCTCAAGTTTGAAACTGAGGTTTGTTAAGTTGATGCTAACGTGGAAGTGGGTTGTGATGCTTGTGTAAATATCTGAAGCATGTGGCTGACTGGAAATGGGTGGACGAGGACGAGTGGGTGGATGTATCTATGTTTATGACTCAAGACTGATGGTGGTGGATTGTTTGTTCCCTCCTACTGACTGTGTTCTGTTTTTTGAATAGTTGTACTGCGTGTTTTCTTCTCCTTTTGATTTCCAAATAAATTCCTGTGATGTGTGATGAAACATGTCTGTTTTTAAATAGTTGTCTGTTGGAATCTGTGATCGAGAGATCCACCGATCCAGAGATTTTAATTGCGGGTATACCCGTTCAGTATTGTTGTTTTGAACTTGCTGCCCCTCTATTGTTATTTTTGCAGATAGGCCCTTGAGTGAATGTTTTTGACCATTTTGCCCCAAATAAATTCCTGTGATGTACGATGGTTTATAGACTTTTATCTGTTGATGAAACATGTGGTTGGTGATTATAATGGTGGCCCAATATCTATTAACTTCTTGCACCAAGTGGTCACAAGTATCTCTATCTCCACGTACGATGTCTAAGATATATATTCCCCAATTATGCAATAATGCCCACGAGGCATCCTGTGGCGCACGAGGCTCATCGATCGATGGCGACGAATTTGGATTCACTCTGTCCCATTTGACAGTAGAAATGGTACCTAGCCCTCTGATCGATCACAAATATTCCTTCTGATATTGAGTATAGTTATATAACCTAGTTAGCTATATTAATTCTGGATACAGCAACATATATAAGTTAATTAACGTGTTGTGTGTCCTATAGCTGGAATTCGATGACCTTCAAGGCGGTAATCAATTTGCATGCATTTGGATTTTGTACAAGGCTTTAAATATATACACATTGAAATAAAGACACCTTAATTAAATTTGTTATCCATGTGCACGTTTATTCAGAGTGTTTCTGGATTATTTTTGAATTAATTTTGAACTTGTAACTAATTGATTTGAAGGGAGGGAGCGTACGTTGCCTGCAAATTTGCAAAGCGCTCGGGAATGTCAGTAGGAATCTTTTTGAGAGAATGGGATAGGAATTAGGAAAGCAAAAAGGACTGTGTAGGAATCTCCACTCCTCCCTGTGCTAGAAATGTGGCTAGGTTCATCTTGTACTTAATTTTAGTGAACTAGGACCGAGTCACGTACTGGTTTCTCTAGCAATTTTAACTTTTGCATGTATCAGTCGGCAATCTAAGAGCCAGGGTTGGCTGCTATAAATAGTGAGCATAGATACAGCAAGCATGAGCAAGGTACGTATTAAGCGTACTTTTCATCTGCTTTGTTTCTCTCCCCGACTATCTATCTATCTGTCTATCTATCTATCGATCTGTCTAGGTTGGTTGTTCTCTGGAGCTCCCTCAAACACTTCATTAGGAATTTCATGTAATAGCTGAATATATACACATACATCCCTACTGAAGTGTTTGGGGGAACTCTAGATAGTAACTAGCACAATGTTACACGTGCATGGACTCCATTGGGGTTTCCAATTATATATGTTGATAAATCTATATATTGAGCTCATCTCAAGTTGATTGCCTTCTAGAGTTCCTCTCAAACACTTCATCAGGGTTTTCGCTCTTGAACTCTACTACGTACTGAAGTGTTTGAAGTGTTTGGGGGGGACTCTTGGTGGCATTCAACAAGTTCTAATATCAGATGCACGCACGCAAGCCCTGACTAATTAATTAAGCTAGCTAGAGCGTGCTAGCTGCTAGGCCTCCACGAGTCACTCCTCATGAGCTACGTAAGCTTCGGCCCAATATTGCCCAATGTAGATCTAGAGGCCTAGTGCCGTACAATATAGGGTTGTGCGACGGTAAATTTTGATTTTTTTTCTCTCTCCAATCATGTAAATATAAAATATAGTAATATTTTGAGCCCTCAAGTTAGTCCACGTTGACCCTTTGCTTGAAGGGAACTCAAATAATTTCGACTATTTGATGGAGAAGAAATGATAGGGGCACACCCTTGTACACACCACCAACCACACCCCCCCTCTATTTACAGTGCAGGGGCCCTACATGTGATTTTTTTTAAAAAATCACATGTGGGGCCCCTGCACTGTAGATAGAGGGGGAGTGGTTGGTGGTGTGCCCAAGGGTGTGTCCCTAACACCCCTATTGATGGAGACATAGATCAACTTATGAATTCAAATATTTTATTTATATCCGTTACCACACTCATATTTGTATATATACTATAGCATAGCCAAGAAAATATTATCAAAATCCATATCTATAAATTTAACATATGCAGCCTATCAAATCCGGATTTAGATATATCCACGACTTATCCTTATTGTTTTTTTGATGACAAGGAAAACCTGGTCAGTCCGCTCAACGTACTTTTAACTCCTTTGAAGTCTGCCAGCGACCCTGGTTCGAAGCCCACAACCAACCCATCTCTGCAAGGAGCTACCCTTAATACCAGGGGCTCATCCCCAGCTGACTAGGCGAACAGTGCGGGGGTACGTGCGCGAACTGGTGAGCATACAGCGGGTTGAGCAAAGTGACCAGTAAAACCATGGGTCTCCGTCCCCACCCTTAAACCCAGGGAGATCGACCAGGTGAATTCGGCAGCGTGAATCGAACCCCTGATCACTGGGAAGATCTCCTTCCCTATGTGGGCGCTAGCCAGGAGTCCCACCCGCGGGTGGCGATTTGGAGAGGAGGGATGCATTTTAATCTAATTAGCAGGACTCATCGTGCGGTCCAAGTTGCTCCCCTTCTAAGAAGAAACCCGCTCTACACGAACATGTTACTCTCTTGGTAAAAAAAAATTGAAATAAGCTCCCTTCTGTGTTTCATTAATAAGAATTTTAACAAATTAAATTGAAACCTAATTACGAAGTTCATAAACAGATAATTTTAGGCCTTCATACAAACACAAAATTAACTTAAGAGTAGCCACATATGTGCGTTTCATACTGAGCTTGAGCTTCCGCCTTATGTCTTTGTTTTAATTTGCGGACAAATTTTCAAAACCTACCTATTTGGAAATTTAATCTCAAAAAACAACCCCTTTCAAACTTAATTGCAAAAACCGACCTGGTTTCTGCCTTGGCGCTGAAACCAGGTCGGTTTTTGTGAAAAAACTTCGGAAACTTCACGGGAGTTGAATACCCGTGAAGTTTAGTAAAACTGCTAAACTTCTCCCGTGAAGTTTCGCAGTTCAAAAAAAAATTGAGCTACGAAACTTCACGGGAGTGTTTGTTGGAAATTTGATGTAAAAAGACAAAGAAAGAAAATTTGACTTGTATTCTCTCAAAATCGATTACAATTTTGGATTCCGGATTACGAAAAGAGAAGAGAATGGATTTGATTTCTCTCCTTTGATTTAAGACTGGGCTTCTTCTTGTTAGCCGATGGTGGAGTGCTTTCCTTCGATTGATCGCGTCGAACTGCTCTGTCGTTGACGATCCGCCCGTCCGTTCTTCACTTGGATAACTAAGTGTTGATGACTTCGGTTTAGAACTCTTGACGAGTGTTGAATAACTCTGAACAGTTAAGAACTCTGATAGGAGTTGTTGAAAAGCGAATGGTCTGGTTTGATGCTGGAATTAACCTTGCGCTTACAAACTAAATAAAAACTTTAACGAGTTTAAGAATCAGAATGCGAGTTAAAACCTTAAAACAGAGTTGTGGAACGAAAATCTCGGTTATTGCAAGTGGATTGTACTTTGATGAAAGCGTCCTTCGGGGATGATTAACTGTCGTTGCATCAGTTCCCTTCGATCCCCCAAGATTCTCTTCTTTCCGATTACTCAACTGCCGAAGATTTGCTTGACCTTGGGTGGTTTTTATCCCCGCCTCCCCTCAACCTCTTTGCGGTTTTTTATTCCAGAAACGATTGATCAACTCTCAACCGCCCAAACCCCTTTACTCAGTGAGTAAGTTTGCGTTATTTATAGGTGATGTGGAGTCCCAACCAACCGCCTATTTGCCCTTCTCTTTGTGGGCGAAGAATCCCTTCAGAACGATGGATAAACGGTTAGAGGCGCCTTCAGCTTGCGTTTGAACAAGTCAAGAACGCTCAACTATTGGCGTTCGTGGGCTTTAACTCTGCGCCAAGGTTTGCGGACGCAGATGTTATAATCTCTTTTTGGGATTTGAGACGACGGGCCTCGTGTTGTTCTGACTTCGAAACGCAACAGGCTGCTGGTGCCGTTGAAATTTAATTCTGGTTCAGAGTTCGCGGACACATAGCTGGTCTGTTGAATAACGACGTTATGGGTGCGTTTCGGATTTTAACTCTGCCGTTCAGAGTTCGATGTGTCTGTTGATGAACGCAGCAGATTGTGTGCCGTTTGGAGAAACGCAGCAAATGAATTTCTGCGTCTCTGCGGAGAACTTGTTGGCGCTTATAACCTCCCCCCCCCCCTCGTCCACTAAACATACAAAGGCTATTGTTTATGATCTTTTCTGTGTTATACGGGCATATGAGAGTCGTCAGATTGTAAACTCTCACTGCTTGCGTTGTGAAGCGCCACTGAACAGAGTTTCATCACTGCTCGGATAGTGTCGTCGTATTGTTAACTCTTTCTCGATCGTCTGTGAAAAGTCTCCTATTTGTCGTTTTCGATCGTTCCGGCGTGAAAGCTATTTGATTTTGTAGCTCCGATTGTTGGAGCTTGACGGGAATCTAAACCATCAGATGTCTTCTGGACGAATATATTGCCCACAGCCCTCTCTAACCCAGCAACTCACCAGCTAAGTCAACCTTTTATTTCTCGGAGATGAGGCCGTGTTTATAGCGGTGCCAGAGTGTGAATGCAGTGATTGGGAGTCGTCTGATTGTTAACTCCTATGTCAGGACTCGTTTGGATCAGCTATCCATTGCTGATTTTTAGGACAGCCTAGAGAACCCCCTCCAAAGTTTTCGAAAGTTCGCCGCGTTGACTGCTGCACGAATTTCGGAATACTTTGAGATCCAAAATTTAGAAGCATTTTCAAACTCGGTTTGATTGTAATTTAATTATGTCTCATCCAAGGACTCCTTCAGTGAGTCATCTTCTTCTTCATTGGTTATAGTCACCTGATGGCCTGACGATTAACCTCCCTCTATTTATTGAAACCATGCCTTGGGTTTTAAACAGAGAGGGAAATTATC